TTAGTTTTATAAGTAACGATTGTTTATTAATATGTTCCGAATTTTATAATAACTAACTACTGAAGATGACCACAACCAGATGGTCGAAACGTCTAGATTGACCTAAACATTTGTTATAATATATTAATAAATTAAGCACGAAAATCCAGCTTGGGCTCTGTAGCTTGTTGTTAATAATTTATTTGAAGTATTAAACTTACTGGGATCAAAATATATTTTGAATAAATTTGATGCTTATAATGAACTTACGATAGATTTGCGGATATATGAACTTATAAAATACTTAAAACAAGTAATATTTACTTAAATACAGTATGTATTTTTTTGTGTGTAGATGGCATTTTTTCTGGTCAGCTGAGATAGTATAAGTAAGTTCTAAGTGTCACGATTTCATACTTAAGTATCTTTAATGTAAAATCTTAAATATTCCACACAGCACGCACATCTTAAACACATCCAAAAAACATTTAAAAGCTGTTTAAAAAATAATGTTTTTTTAGGCGTCTTTAAGATGTCTTTAAAATTGTTTCAGATATTTTATGACATTTACGATACTTTTGTCTAACATTATTATGCGGCATTGTTACTTTCACTAATTACAAAATTTTAATCATAAAAAATTAAAATATGTTTGCAAAACTTCTAGTTTTTGTGATTAAAATTTTCAAATAGCGTTGTCGAGAAGTGAATCTCGGAAATTGAAAAGGAAAAAAAATCACAAGTAATTAAATAGTGTTCTGTTGACAACAGGAAACGTCAACTTCATTTGGTAATCTGTGCTTCGTGTAATCATCGTGAACATTTGATAAGTGCACTATGGCTAGCGCGTGTCGAGATTCTTATCACCATTTCCACCAATGACACCGACTCTGCACAGATTTGTATCGCGTGTTCACGCGCGCCTCGTCATACGCTCGCATTTGTAAGGGTTGTGTGTGTACGAGACGGAATACGGAATTGTCGTCGCGAATTACGGAATCCGGCAGGCAGACAGACGAGCGTTAATGGTTTGTTCTCGAGTTGAAATAAAGGGAGGAGAAGATAAAATCACACAACGGACACGTTGGCATTTCTCGCGTTGCTTTGAAGAATTTTAGAAACTTTTCATGGCTAATAATTTTTTAAATAAGTACACTAAAATAATATTATAGAAAAAATGATACCCATGTAAACCGACAGATAGAAAAATTGATTTTCTGTCTGGTCTGGAAAACAAAAATTATTATTTATACAAAATTATAATATCAAGGCTCTTACGATAAATATCACATAAAGAAGTAAAAGGAAAATGAGCCAATGTCGGTTATTTGTACATATTTTTTGAAATTTAAGCTTGAGTACAAACGTTTCTGCCTACACGGAGAAAATTTTATATCAAAAATTACTATGTACGGTAGTAGCCGCGGACCATGAAAAAATTATAAAAATTTTTACTATGTTTTTCACATGTGAAACATAGTAAAAATTTTCGGTCCACGGCTTCATGGTCCGCGGTTACTGCCGTACATAGTAATTGTTTATATAAAATATCCTTCGTGTAGATAAGGCTTTCAGGCCTTAGCAAGACCACTAAAAAGAAAATATTTACAAAACGCTCTAAAAAGAAAATATCTACAAAATGCACTAGAAAGAAAATATCTACAAAACGCATGATAAATGTAACTTAAAACTCGTTTCCTGTTCTTCGCTCACACGCGATAATTTCCTGTATGGCGACGATTGCACCGGTTATTTGTCGACGTGAAAAATTGCGGGCGGCTAAATAAGAGAAGATTCAAGTGCGAGACGTTGCAAGTGTTAGAACTCTGAAACAAACGTGTCGGAAAATAGAGTAATCTAAATAATAATACGATCATCCTACGCACGCAAGAATGAAGTAAAGTCTAAACCGTTCCAGTTTTATGTATTTTCAATGATTAAAGCTCGGCTAAAATATTATTATCAAATAATTGCATCAAAATATAATTTTCATAAGAGCAATGTAAAGTGAATTCAATTGCGGACTGCATTCGGAAAAACTACGGTGCGTAAAATTGTATCAGTTCACCTCAGGATTTGAAGGATTCATCGCGCACATTGTTTTAACGATGAACGACCGAATACGACAGCGGCAACAGGTAGCCGCGCGTGCCGCGGCGTCACGTAATTGCGCTCGGGACGAGTGTGCAAACTAATTTTACACATTTGTCGCGACCGACGGTCCAGGATGTTTATTTTTCTCTCCAAGAAACCTCGAGAAACCAGTGTGCTACCGGGCGGAGCACTTGTAGGAACGCTTCCTCGTAGAACGGCGTGCACCAACAGTGGTAGTCGGGGATTCAAAGTGTAAACAGCAGAAGAAGAAGCACATTTCCTCTCGTAGTGCGGAACGACACATGCGACTGAAGTTTTGTTTCGGAATGGCCACTTCGCCTTGACTGTTTGTACATTCGGATGTGAGTTTTCCCTGATAGCACTGAAAGGTTTTAGTTATGTTACAGTAACATTACAAAGAAACCTTGAAACTGTTCCATTTATGTTGCAAAAGGTCTCTGCAAGGTTATAACAACGTCAAAATGTCCGCATTGATTACATTTGCAACATTGCAAAAACATGTCAAGAAGCCTTCCAGAAATATTTCTGAAATGTTATCCAAAATGTTTCTGAAATATCTCGGAAAGATTGTTGTAATATCAAAATGTCCGCTTTAATTTCAGTTGCAACATTGCAGAAACCTCTCAGGAATATATGTGATATGAATACAATTGTCATTATGAACATTGAAACTTTATTTAAAAAAAACGATATAAATATATCTTATTATAATACTTATTATAATACTTAGAATAAAGATTAACTCTATACTACTCTGTAGTTGCAGATCCTTCCTT